CAGACTAACCCCAAAAAAGAACTCTCACTCGAGAAAGCGGCCCCCTTTCTGCCTTTCTTGCTTGATTCGTCTTTCATCTCAGTGTCTTATCCGGATTGAATGTATACTATCCCCCTATCGGACTAAGNGCGCTCAAGCATGCGAAGAAAGCTCGAAGAGCTTCTATTAGGATATTTTGTGAGCTCCTTCGCCTAGCGGAAACCTCCGCTTTTGTCAAGCAGGCATGATTGTCACGTCGATCGAATAGAGCATGCGACACAAGCTTTCTAGCTCAAGTTTGAGAGTGCTACACGAGGCCTAAAGCGAGGAGGAGCTCGCTACAGAGTTTGCGAGGCACAGTGTATACCGAGACGAGGCGTGAGTTTTGCCTCGCGAGGCGAGGCCTGTAGCGAGGGTGTTTCGGATTTTTAAAGCCTATTTTGTCTCCTATTTGATTTTGGACTTGGTTATTTCGTTTAGGTCTCTTCCCTGCACATATAAATAGTCATTAAATACCATTCTTAGAGGTGTCTTTTGGCGACCGGAGGCAAGAGAATTACGTGGACAACTTGTGGAGAAGAAAATCATCGAGTTCTTCATCCCTTTATCTTTTCTTTATAATTTATTTATGCACAATACATGTAAAATTGTTACTACGAACATGAGTGGCTAAAAACCCATAGTTCAGGGGTTGTGATTTAGTCATGAATATTGTTGTTTTACGTTGACTTAACCTTAATTACAATTCACTAATATATGATTGTTTCTTCAATTCTGTGATTAATTGCTTAATTATCTGGCCAGCAGTTAGGTTCTATTTACTATCTATGCTATGCTTGGGAAANATGAATCGATCACAACCCTGGAATATTTGTCTTCACTGAATACACCACAATTGTTTTACTACTTGATAATTTAGTTACTACTTAGAATTATAGTTTACTATAATCACATTCTTGAACTCGATTTTGGCTTGACTGAATAACAATCTTGGTGATTTTAGTGGGTAGTTGATACAAGTTTCTGTGGGTTCGACACTCGACTTATTATTTTATTATTTGTACGACCACGTATGCTTGGGTGTGCGTTTGGGAGCAACACATTGACATACGTAATGTTAAATGTCTTTACCTTTCATGAAAAAAAGTGATAAATCTCTATTATTTGTTATGCTATCAACTATGTATTGAGATATTCTAGAATTTTGACCTTAGCAACTGTAGCCAAACAAGACAATGAAAGAAAACAGCTAATCCTTGTAGAAGAACATTGTCAAGAGTTTAGCACACATGCATTGACTTATATTATGATTCTATTTGTTGATTTGCATTTGTTGTGAGCCATTCAATTGAGGAAGTAAGAGAAAATCAGAAGGGGTGTGTGAAGGGCGGCTAAGCACATGTGTGACCTAAAGCTAAAGTTTAATGCGATGCCTAAATTTTTAAAAGAAAGTGGTGATCTATAGTTTTATTTGAAATTTATTTTTCTAGCTGTTTGAGATGTAAAGTTGTTTATATTATTTTTTATAATCAATTTCTTCTAATAATTCCTTTAAATTGATAATATAACCAACTCATTTAATCTTTTTTGAGACATTATTGATCTTAGATTAGATTTTATCAATTATAATTTTAAAAAGCTTATTTTCACTGAGGTAACTGTTATAGAAAAACTCTACTTTTATACTAGCCTTATTGAGAGAAGGACACAGCTAATGACATATGAATCTCCAGTTTTAAATTACCTAACTACTCATTTTGGACATCATAATATGATAAGTGGATTGGCCTGAGTACTGCTTGTGATTATTGTTAACTTTAATAATTCTTTTGATATTTATAATAGACAACATATACCACTTGAAGTTGCACCGTCTAGACATCAGATAAGTTAACTATGGTATTTTTGTTTTTGTTCATTGCTTAAGTTGAATCGGGTAAATAGGAAAATTTAAATAAATTGGGTAAATAATTTTAAAATTTCTTATTTATAGAAAAAGTTCCCAAAAAATAATACTCATAGAAATGACACCAGGTAGTCAGGGCTGCTATTTAAAAATTAACAGTACGTATTGAATTTTAGTTTTTTTCGTGACAAAACCTGAAGATGAGATTAGTTTAAAATTTTAAAATAAAATAAGTAATGACTAATCTCTAAATAGTATATATCTGTGTATTTGCCCAAAAATAACAACAACAACAAGAATACCAACTCAGTGAAATCCCACTAGTGGGGTCTGGGGAGGGTAGTGTGTACGCAGACCTTACCCCTACCCCGAAGAGGTAGAGGCTGTTTCCGAAAGACCCTCAGCTCAAGAGGACAAAAAGACAAAATAAGACAATATCAGTATCATCACAGAAATCATAAGAAAAATATGAACAACATGAAATCCACAAGAAAGATGCAAAACAAAAACGAAAAAAAAAGCAAAAACAAAAACGATAGCTAGTAAATAGGTCCGACACTGAAACGCAAAATAGTAAGACACGACATTGCCACTAGCTAGCTTAGACAAAAACCCTACCAGACTAGTCTCACAATGGTACGAATTAAGACAAGACTCAACTACTTCCTAACCTACAACCCTAATACTCGACCACCACATCTTCCTATCAAGTGCCATGTCCTCGAAAATCTGAAGCCTCGCCATGTCCTGCCTGATCACCTCTCCCCAATACTTCTTCAGCCGCCCTCTACCTCTTCTCGTGCCCTCCACAACCAGCCGCTCACACCTCCTTACCGGGGCATCTAGGCTCATCCTTTGTACATGCCTGAACCATCTGAGCCTCGCTTCCCGCATCTTGTCATCAATGGGAGCCACGCGCACCTTCTCCCGAATATTAACATTCCTGATCTTATCCATCCTAGTGTGCCCGCACATCCACCTCAACATCCTCATTTTCGCTACTCTCATCTTCTAGATATGTGAGTTCTTAACAGCCCAACACTCAGCCCCGTACATCATGGCCGGTCTAACTACCACTTTATAGAACTTACCTTTGAGTATCGGTGGCACTTTCTTGTCATACAGGACTCCAGATGCTAACCTCCATTTCATCCATCCTACCCCAATACGGTGTATGACATCCTCGTCGATCTCCCCTCCCCCTGAATAACCGACCCAAGGTACTTGAAGCTACCTCTACTTGGGATGACCTGTGAGTCAAGCCTCACATCCACGCCCACTTCCCCAGGCTCAGCGCTGAACTTACACTCCAGGTATTCCGTCTTCGTCCTACTCAGCTTGAAACTCTTAGACTCAAGAGCATGTCTCCAAACCTCCAGCCTCTCGTTAACACCAGCTCGCGTTTCATCAATCAAAACTATGTCTTCGGCGAATAGCATGCACCATGGCACCTCCCCTTGAATATGGTGTGTTAATGCGTCCAACACAAGGGCGAATAGGAACGGACTGAGCGCGGAGCCCTGATGTAGCCCCATAACAACCGCAAAATGCTTAGAATCGCCTCCTACTATCCTTACCTGTGTCTTAGCCCCATCATACATGTCCTTAATCGCCATAATGTAAGGAACTGATACACCTTTTGCCTCCAAGCATCTCTAGAGAACTTCTCTAGGAACATTGTCATATGCTTTCTCTAGGTCAATAAAAATCATGTGCAGGTCCTTCTTCCTATCTCTGTATTGTTCCACCAACCGCCTAACAAGGTGTATAGCTTCTGTAGTAGAACGACCCGGCATGAACCCGAACTGGTTGTCGGAAACAGACACCGACATCCTCACCCTCGCTTCAACCACCCTCTCCCACACTTTCATGATATGACTCAGTAATTTGATACCCATATAATTGTTACAACTCTGGATATCATCTTTGTTCTTATACAATGAAACCACCGTACTCCACCTCCACTCATCCGGCATCCTCTTCGCCTTAAATATAACATTGAACAATCCAGTCAACCACTCCAAACCTGCTCTCCCCACACACTTCCAAAATTCCACCGGAATCTCGTCAGGCCCTGTCGCTTTGCCCCTACTCATCTTACTCATAGCTCCCACGACCTCCTCCACCTTGATGCACCTGCAGTATCCAAAGTCACGGTGACTCTCGGAATGCTCCAATTCACCTAGCACGATATCCCGATCTCCTTCTTCATTCAGAAGTATATGAAAGTAAGTCTGACATTTCTTCTTAATCTGGGAATCTTCCATCAATACTCTACCATCGTCGTCCTTGATGGATCTCACTTTGTCCAAATCCCGAACCTTCCTCTCTCTCAACTTGGCCAGCCGGAATAGCTTCTTCTCCCCATCTTTTTCCCCCAGTTCCTTGTACATACGACCATAAGCTGCAGTCTTAGCCTCTGTGACCGCCAGCTTAGCTTCCTTCCTAGCTACCTTATACCTCTCCATGTACGCACGCCTCTCATCCTCACCTATGCTTCCCACTAACTTCAGGTGCACCGCTTTCTTCGCTTCTACTTTACCCTGGACCCACTTCATTGCACCACCAGTCTCCTTTGTGCCCGCCAACGATGCCCGTTGAGACCCCTAACACCTCTCTCGCAGCCTCCCTTATACAGTATGTTGTCGTTGACCACATAGTGCTCGCGTCACCACTGCTCCTCCAAGCTCCCAGAGCCGACAACCGCCCCTCTAACTCTTGGGCTTTATCCTTAGTTAAGGCTCCCCACCTGATTCTCGGTCTTCCTCGAGCAGACCTTTTCCTCCTCTTCAACATAATACCAACGTCCATTATCAAGAGCACATGCTGCGTCGTGAGTATCTCACCTGGAATCACCTTGCAATCCTTGCACAACCCTCTGTCACACCTCATGAGGATGAGATAGTCAATCTGAGTCTTCGCCACCGTATTTTAAAAAGTAACCAAATGCTCCTCCCTCTTCGGAAAGGTAGAGTTCGCAATCACCAACCCAAAAGCCTTAGCGAAGTCCAGCAACTTAGCCCAAAAATAACGTGTACAACTATACAACCAAAAGAAATAGGAGTATAGGTTCAATTTAGATTTTAGAAGAACCTCTCAACCGTATAAATAGTAAGAAAGACCTCTTACTTACACGGTACCATCCTTCTCTCCACAGCAAAACCCTCAAATTTGTGCAACCCAAATGGAATCCAAAGTAGATGAAGCCTCCGATCGGCGCGCACAACACAGCAAACCTATGAACCATTCTCAACTTCCGTCATCTTCAATACAAGATTCAAGCTTTAACAGAGTACTTATTCTTCCACCAGAACTCATTACTGAAATACTCTTAAGGCTTCCTGTGAAATCACTCTTGAAATTCAGGTGTGTTTCAAAATCTTGGCTTTCCTTAATCTCTAGCCCTGAATTTGTCAATACCCATCTCAGTACATGTGTTAATAACACAGAATACACCCACCACAGGCTTATGTTGGGTTTAGATAAAGGTCTTAAAGTATATTCTGTTAGGTCTTTACTTTATGAGGATGAGTCTGTGGAGGCGACCCACTTGGATTTTCCCACGAAAGGCTACTTCAGTATTGTCGGTTCTGTAAATGGGTTGATCTGTCTTAGAACTGGGCCAAATAATATGCTTCTATGGAATCCATCTATGAGGAAGTTAAAAAATTGTACTGCTTTTATAGCTGCACCAAAGGGTGTCTTCTACCTCTGGGGTTTTGGATATGATGAGGTTCATGATGATTATAAGGTAGTGCGTATGTTCTATGCTATTAATGGTGGCAATTCATGTGATGTTAAGGTCGAAATATATAGTTTAAAGAGTGATTCTTGGAAGGGAATTGATGGTTTCCAATATGGGAAGATACACTCTTGTTTGGGTAAGTTGGTGAATGGGAAGCTTCATTGGATTACGTCTGGTGCTCATCCTGGTAGTAATGACGGGGACATCATTTTTATTGATTTGGCTGATGAGAAATGGGGAGTGTTGGAACAGCCTTGCCATGGAGAAAATGAGTTCTATTTTAATCTTGGAGTGTTGGGAAGTTATCTTTCCGTGTTTCGTACTTATCAAAGTACTTGGGCCGATGTGTGGGTTATGAAGGAATATGGGGTCAAAGAGTCTTGGGCAAAAATTTATACCATCAAATTTGATGAGGATATTCCTAAGCATGGGCGGTCTCCATTGTTTTGCAAGTCAAATAAAGGTGAAATTTTACTTGCGCTTGGATCAAGATTCATGATATACAATCCAAAGGCTAACTCGTTACGATACCCAAAGATTTCTAAAAGTTATTTCTCTTTTTCTGATGGAATCTGTGTCGAAAGCCTAGTTTGTCCATTTTTACAAAATGAACCAAGGATGCAACAATGAAGGCTAAAAGCACTCAGGTGAATGACAATTGTGTAGCTAATGACATGTGTTAGTTTATAGATATGTATAGTGTAGTCTTGTCCCATATTGGAAGATGAGTAATATCTTCTTGTAGTGTATAGCTATAAATAGGGACCTCTTGTATTGTATTTATCATCTAATATCAATAACATATTTTCTCCCGTACCTTCTCACATGGTATCAGAGCATTAGTGAGAAAAGATCGTTGTGCGTCATTCCAGCGTTAACCGGGAAGAAAGAACTTAGTCATCGTGTAATTTTTCCGGTGACCTAAGGCTTGTCTAAGTGAAAGTCACTTTCTGTCGGTGTTGTGCTAAAACCAACATCACCACGAGGTAGATCACCCTCCGACTACCAACCCCTGAAATTTTATCCAGCAGAAAAGCCGCCACGCTCCTCCACGCGCCGGCAACAACTTTTCCGGCGAGGGTTCTGGCCATTTTTTCGCGAAGCTTCTTCAGGACAGTGTGCTCTCCTCAAAATTCCGAGCCTACCCATCTAATTCAAATTAAATTCCGGCCACTTTTATATTTTTCCGGCGTGAACAGTGACCTTTCTGGCCATTTTCTGAAAATATTTCTTCAGGACAACTTGCTCGCAAAGGAATTCCGAGTCTATCCATCCTGGTTACAACAAATTCTGACAACTTTGGAATTTTCCGGCGAACTACAGTGTTTCCGGCGTGAACAGCGTTCCGGCACAGAACAGTGTTCTGTTTTCCTGCTGTAAACAGTGTTTTTCAAGCTATTTCTTCA